CACACGTACAGATACGCAGTAGTGGCTTTATTCCTTGGCCGCCCTTGCTTGTGCATTAGTGACACATGTAGAAATAATAAATATAGTGGTATAATGAGATGGAAGGACATGAGAGTCGAGGTTACATTGTCAGTTTCCCTCCAATATTCTTTATGTGCACTGATACGGCTGTCTTGGTGCACATTGTGCAACATTGTGCTTTGACTCACACATTCCACAGCTCTACAAATGCTATATTTAGATGGTGGAGCTGCAGGTACAATACAGTTTGTAAATGCAGAGAGGTGCGTCTTGCCATTCATTTAGTTTACAGATCAATTATCAGATTGTACAACTGTAAAATGTGACACATTGCATCGTGGGTTCGTAATTTCAAAGGAGTGTTTATATTTGTTGTTTCAGGGCACTATACAGTGAATAGAACCAACATTTACACACTCAAATACAATGGTGGAGGGTTACCCAGTAGACAGGGAGTACATTTGGAGACATTGATAGTAACTGACTATTAAAAATTCAGAAATAGATAAACAAAGTGCGTGTGAGGGAGATAGTTGGGCATGAGGCCTGCTGCTTTTATCAGACATCACTCAGCTCAGTGTAGGACTAATGGAGAGCAGGGTGTCCGGGGAGGGATGCAACTCTGGGTAGTGTGTGTTGTGTTTTGTTAGGAGAGCAGCACAGAGAGAGATACAGTCCCTAGCATAAGTACCCTGGGAATAGTGGGTTGGTAACCTCAGAGAGAGCGCACATATGTATCAGTGTGTGTTTGTATGAAGGCTGGAATCAATTTGTATGTGTTTTCTGAGAGAGATTTTGTGAAAACTCCGCAGTGGTCACTTGAACGGGAAACCCCTGTTACAGTGTTACATAAATTCTCCAAGCTGCTTTACTTCTAATGACATTATGTAGAGCCAGGAGCCCCCAATGGATTCCCTGCTAGAGAGAGAGGGAAAGAGAGAGAGAGAGAGAGCTAAGTAAAGCATAGGTTTCCTACTGCTGGGTCCCAGTTTTACACAGCGCTCCGGTACACAGTGAGCGCTGGTTTAGTACCTATTGTTTCTCTCATAGGGCTTATATGGGTCATGCACAAGCTTTTTCTTCTCACAGGCTTATTCTACGGTCAAATCTAAAAGGGTTTCATCTTCAGAGTAAGCCTGTTTATCATCTGTTGTCCACCTTGACTGCTTTATTCTCAAATTGTGCCCTTTTTTGATTGGAAGCTTAAAAAAACAACAACCTTAGAACGATTAGGCGAAATTCAAACCACTTCATTATAAATTCAAAAGATCACTGGCACATCCCGCTCATGAGTGGTGAATGTCATCATCATTTATCGCCATCATCACTGCTCATTAGTCCGAACCCGGATCACAGAAGGGAATCTAAAGCGGGACTTTGAAATGACTGCTGGAAGGGGAATGGCGGTGTTGAAATTGGATTTCAGCCTTGTGCTAAAGCCCATGGCAACAATGAGGAGGCTTGGCCCCAAAGGGAAAAGTAAACCTTGGGGAAAAGAGCCATAAGGCTGCGGGCGGGCGGGCAGGCAGGAAGGGAGAGAAAAAACATAATATCAATATAGATTTGAATAGATTCCTCTACTATATTTCTTTTTTTCTGTGCCATTTCATTCCCTCATTTCTGGTTCGGCTGAAACAAAGCCGGCACGCGTGTTGCTTCCCTCCTCCTTCCCCTACTAGCCCATAAAAGATGGAGGTTAATGAATTTGGTGCTCATGCATGCCTGAGCTAATTACATTGGCTTTGGGAACTCCTCCCATTATTAAAAAAATGTTTTCACTATCAAGATGGCCACCGGCTGGACGGCCGATCAGTGCGACTTTGAGGAGGCTGCCAAGCTTCTGTTTGTGGGAATAATGACAAGTGATGAAGACGATATGGCATTCTTATTTACTCAGTGGGAATATGGTGTATGAGATTCAGTTAGTTATCATTATCAACTGAGTGTTTTTTCTAGTTGGTATGCTTTGACAGATACAGTTCAGTAAGATTGATTTAATGCCCAATATCACACATTTGCCTCAAGGGAGCTCAGCGAGATGAAAAATAATGAAGTAAATCTCTATTCTATTTTAAGGAAATCAAACCAACATTCTGGTCTGCAATGTTTCTGTCCATTTACATCCAGTATTTATCTATTAATAATACCTTCAAGTGTTGGCAGAGAAGAAGAGTTAGTTCACCAAATCTGAAATCTTCTTTATCACCAAATGCAAATATTTTTCAGCCCCTTTACTCACATAAAATGAAAGTGAATGGAAGCCATGGGCTAATGTTGTGCCATAAAAGCCCCCACTAGCAAAAACACGTGGCTTTAATTGTGACGCAGCCACAGGAAACAAGAGATTACAGTTGTTCGCTCTGACCATAATTTGTTGATTGATCTTGAAAACAGTCTTGAGCCCAGGTCCACAAAACGGATTAATCAAACGTTAATCTCGACTATTCATATTATGTAGCTATTTCAGATTATTCACGCATTCAAATTCACATACGCACTATTTAACACAAGTTACTCTGTCCATTTTAATCCCCACTCTTGTACCGAACATGGCCTGAAACGTGCAGATGTGCGACGCAGCGTCCTCACTCTGTTCTATGCTGCTGCTATTGTTCTACATTAGCTTCGGTCTCTAAGGGGAAATGAGAGCGTGTAATAAGGATTGTTCTAATTATTGATCGAACACTTCAAGGGGTCCTCACCAAGAGCTACTGCTTGGGGATGATGTATGTGTATGTGTATGTGTATGTGTATGTGTATGTGTGTGTGTGTGTGTGTGTGTGTGTGATGGGATTTCTTAGGAAGCCTTCGTAACTGGAAACCTGTGAATGTGTGGTTCTGTTTGTCCTACCACTAGGGGAAGAAAAAAAAATCAATGTTGTCTAGTTGTGGTTACTGGTCTGGTTCATCTCAGAGTCCTTTTGTTTGTACATCAGGTGTTTTACTGTGTGTTAAACCCTACATTTTGACATCCTTTTACCAGTCACATACGCACTGGATAATGTGTGTGTGCATGAGAGAGTCAGAAGCAGTGAGAGAAAGAGCTGGAAGAAGAGAGAAAGAGGAAGAGATAAGGACTAA